ACTGCCCAGTCTCACCACTGGTCGACACAGTACTGGCACAGCTAGAGCAAGTAGGAGCAACAGAGAGCAGTCAGAGGAATTCAAATCGGGAAAGAGATGAAGCCATCTGTAGGGTAAGGTAAAAGGTATCAGGCTTTTCTGCCCTCCCGCCATCAGGATGGATGACGGACCCCTGCGGTCCTGAGTGCATGCCTGATGGCGGCCCCTGGAGTAGGGTGTGGGCATGCGTAAGTGTGTCCACCTGAGCTAAGAGACTGGTTTATAAGGGTGGCGCAGCAGAGCGCGGTGTCGAGGGTGGAGCAGTGGAGTGTCCGGAGGAGTACAGCGACTACAAACAAAGGCGAAGAGCATGTGGCTGCTAGAACCGTTCATAAACCTGCCCAGAATGGGTTGGCTGCCTTACACCATCATTACTTGCAGATGACATGATAATATACGTAAGAAGCCCAAGAAATCTGCAGGAAAACTGAAACAGTAAAGCAGTTCAGTAAACTGGCAGGTTCAACAACCAAGCACAAAAATCAGTTGCCTCTCTATACGCAAACAATGAACTAGAAGAAATTAAGAAAACCAGCCCATTTAAAAGCACACATACCAAGAAAAAAAAAAGACACCTAGGAGTAAATGTGAGCACAGCGAAGGGCCTGTATAGGGACACCGAGAGACACCGTTAAAGGCAACAAGAACACATGCTAAGGAGTGGAATCCCACCACTAGCACCCATCACACACAAAACCAGCCAGCCCCAAACGGGCCAAAGATATGGGCGTGAGACCTGAAACCATAAAACACATGGACGAGAACAGGGGCAAAACACTCCAAGACATAAACCTCAGAGACTTCTGGACAAATTTCTTCCTGGCAGCAAAGAAGACAAAAGAATACAAACACCTGGGACGACATCAAACTTTTGCACAGTGAGAAAGAGACTGTAACTAAAATGGACACTCTACTGAGTGGGAGAAAATACTTGGACACCATACTTCTGACAAGGGGCTGCTATCAAAGATCTATAAAGAACTCATACAACCCAATAAACAAAAGGGCAGGAGAGCTAAATAAGCACTTCTCCAAGAAGAACACACCGATGGCCACAGGCACATGAAAGAAGGTTTCTCACTCACTGTCAGGGAAACACAAATCAAAACCACAATGAGCTATCACCTTGCACCTGTGGGGATGGCCCACATCAGAAAGCCCAGAAACAAGTGTTGGTGAAAGTGTGGAGAAAAAGGAGCCCCCTACACTGTGGGTAGGAAAGTAAACTGTCCAGTCCCTATGGAAAATAATATAGAGGTCTCTCAAAAGACTAAAAATGAATCTATCATATGACCCAGCGACTCCACTCCTAGTAACTACCCCAAAACAGGAGCCTCCCTGGTGGCATAGGGGATATGTCTCAACACTGTCACCTCTCTGGCCTGAGTGTGATCCCCGGCCAGAGAGCTGACCCACAGGGTGCAGTAGACTTCTCCTTTCTTGCCCTGTGCTCCCCTCAGCAGTGGATTTTAGCAGATCTGCCTATTCTGCTCCCCACTCTGTCTCTGATGAATCCTCTCACCCCGCATCCTTCTGGCCTACACCCCAGCTCTTGTATGCACAAATAAATCTTCTTAAACCCCCCGCCAAAAATCTAAAAGGAAACCTGCTAGATGTTTATAGCAGCACTATTTGCAATACCAAAGATATGGAAACAACCTAAATACCCCCAAAAGATGACTGACTCAAGAAGACATGCTCCATATACACAATGGAATAGTACTCAATGACCAAAAAAGACAAACTCATGCCATGTGCAGCAATCTGGATGGAACTGGAAGGGATACTAACTGAAATAAGCAAAAAGGAAAAAGATAAACAGTCAACGGTGTCACTTACATGTGGCATATAGAGAAACCAAAGGGTGAGACAAAAAAACTTTAAAAGCAACCCTTGAAAACTGGTCATAGAACTGGGGCTTTCAGAGTGGGAGGGATGGTGGGGTGTGGAGAGAAGAGAACACAGTGGACTGTCACCTCCAAAAGTACAGGACTCTGGGTGCTGAAGTGACTGTGGGGAGGGGAGGCAGAATCTTATATAGTCAAAACACTAGCAAGGGGCCTCCCCGGTGGCACAGTGGGTTGAGTGCAGCGCTGTGAGGCTGTCCGCAGCCTCTGCAGCGCAGGTTCAATTCCCAGCTGGCCAGGGAGCAACCCACATGGCGAGCAGACCTCTCCTGTCACGCCCACTGCTCCCCTCAGCAGGGTATTTCGGTCCGTCTGCCAGTTCTGCTCCCCGATCTCTCTGGTGAATCCTCTCACCCTCCCACGCCTCTGGCCTGTACCCCGGTTCTTGTATGCATAAAATCCTTTAAAAAAAAAAATTAACAAGGATGTAAAATAATGCTACTTCAGCAAGTTCCCAAAGAAAAACGTGATGGATGCAGGATGCAAATCCAAACGTAAAGTAAAATGTGTCCTCATAGCATTTTCAGCATTTCCCTGCTAGAGGTCTGGCCCCCCCTCACCAACACACCTGCACTCACCCAGCCTCGTATCCAGCACAGCCCGCATACGAGAGCCAGAAGGACCTCTCTCTTTTTTCTTTTTTGAAAGAAAGATTTTTTTTTTTTTGGTGGTAACACAAGTCACCGACATCACAGAAGCATCACAACCACATTTCTCATCATGCCCACCACTGATTGTTCCACCACCATCTACCACCAACCAGCCTCCCCTCTCGCCATTCCCTCTCCCCCCTCCATCCCCTACCACCACCCTGTTGCGAAACAAAACTTCTGAAAGACAAGTGGAATCAAGCAAGTCCAAGCTCAACGGCCCCCAGAACTTCTTGTCCTATGTAAAGGAAAATCCCAACCCTTCCAAGTCCTGCAGAGGCCACCCACCCACCCACCCAGCTCACTCCTGCTCTGGAGCTGTTCTGGAACAGAACGAGGGAACTTGTCAAGCTCGTTCCCACCCCAGCCTCCTGGAGCCTCCCCACTCTGGTCTGGTTTTCCTCTCTGCTGAGAATATACTTGCTCCTTGAAGGTGACCTGATCAAGATCTCCGCTTAAAAGGCAGTTATCAAAATGGCTCTTTCGCCATGTAAAATACAGCAATGCTTCCCAACCGCCCCTCCCTTGCCGTAGCCTGCTGTCTTTCCCACGTTAATCACAGCATGAGCCTCGCCTCTCTGGCCTGCCTCCAGCACCAGGTCCACGGGACAGGGCTGGGCTCTGTGCTCCTGGACTCCAAGCCCCGACTCCCTGCCCAGCACAACTCCCTGCCCAGCACGGGCCCTACAGGCAGGTGAGAACACTAATTAGGCGAAGGAATAAACTATGAGTGACTCTGGCAAGCCACGAACTGAATTTGGGCCAGTGCCTACAGGCCCTCATGCCCTGAGGTCACCTCCAAAAGTTGTAACAGAACGATGGGACAACACCTGGCCACTCAACTGGGGTGCTGATGACTGGTGTCGACAGACCCGGAGGCTGTCAGGCTCCCTGTCCCCTCACCTCAAGGACCCCCTCTACCATTCAGGACAAAGTTGTCCCAAGTGGGGCATTTAACAGTCACTGCAACTCCTCACACGAGGAAGTGATTTCATCCCAGGAGCAAGCTGGCCCCACACAAAGCCGTTTCTTCACACACGCCCTGCAAGGCCGCCTGACCATGGCTGCTGATGCTCTCCACTGCCCAGGGCTGAACATCAGAGGCAGCAAGGACAGGCCCACAGCGCGGGTACCGCTGTGTCCAGGCCGAGCGTAAGTGACTGTAGGGTAAGTAAATGATATCAGGCTTTTCTGCCCTCCCGCTATTAGGATGGATGATGGATCCCTGCAGTCCCGAATGCAGGCCTGATGGCGGCCCCTGGAGTAGGGTGTGGGCATCAGTAGATGGGATTCACCTGGGCTGAGACTGGGCCTATAAGGGCCGCGGCCTGGGGACGCCAGAAGAACCTCGAGAAGAGCAGAGAAGCAAAGAGAATGCGAGAGAAGGCCGGAGAGCCCAGACAGAGTGAAGACTTGCTGGGGGCTGGCAGCATTTCCACCCCCCCCACCCCCCCCACCCCCCGCCCCCGGGCCGTGTGCCTGGTAAACCCCAATAAAAGCCTGAGAAGCCACCGGAGGCTCCAGGACTCCTCCTTCACCCGTCTGCTCGGGTCACAGAGACCCTGCTGTCCTTCCTGCCACCACAGAGCCCAACTGTAAGCAGGGGACAGCAGTGCCAGGTCAGCCGTGAGGTCACCAAGTGGTGTGCTAGTTAAACACAAAGTGCTTGCGGAAGAGAATGATTTACTCAAAAACAAAACACCTACACAGCGGCCAGGGGCACGGCCTTCACTTTCTTTTTGACAGTCTCGAAAAGAACCGAGCGCCAGGGCCTGTGGAAATCTGCATCATGCAACCTTTCGCTTACGGACGCGAACCGCAGACCCAAGGTTTCTGCCCACGCCAGGGCGAACGCGAGCCGGAGCCCCTGCGACGCCGGCAGTCAGAACCCCTTTGGCGTCGCTCGGCTGCTGTGCGGCCGTGGGCAGCCAACTTCTCGAACTTCTCCAGAGCACCGCACCCTCCCTGCGACGCGGGGGCGACGCCCTGCCCGGCGTCCCGAGGAGGGGGAGTCCGCGGCCCTGGGTGGCCAGCGCGCGCCGAGAGGCCGCCGCGCCTTCCCCGCCCTCGCCGGCCCGGGGCGCGCTCCAGTCCCGGAGCCCGCGCCTCGGGCCCCGCCGCCGAAAAGCAGAGCCGAGACTCGGGCGAGGCGGCTACCGCGGCCGCGGCGCGGCAGCAGAACCCACCCCCTCGGCCCCGGGCCGGCCCGGAGACTGGCGAGCGGCGGCCCGGGGTCACACGCCCCGCGGGGGAGTCGGGCCTCTGTCGCCGAGACCCCCGGGCGCACCCACGGCGGACGCGCCACTCCCCCACGGCCGCAGGGGCGAAGGGCAGGCCGACGCCCAAACACCCCGCCCGGCGCGGGGGCGCACGCGAGAGCGCGGCGGCGGGCCGGCGCCCGTACCTGGATGAGGCCCCGCCGGAGCAGGGCGGTGTGCACGCAGCCGGGGACCTCCCCGGGCAGCTCCAGCGAGCCGTTCCCGCCGCGGACCGTCCAGCTTCCCCGCAGGCTGCAGCTGCGCGCCGCGGCCGCGGGGCGCGCCCCGCACAGCGCGAGCAGCAGGAGCAGGCGGAGGCCCATGCCTGCCGCCCCGCCCCGCCCCGCGCCGCCGACCCCGCAGCCCCGGCGCGGGCCGACCCGCGCGCACATAGGCAGCCGCGCCTGGGGCCCCCGGGCCCGCCCCCGGGTCAGCTGAGCGCGCGCCGCCGCTCCCGGCCGGGGCGGGGCGGGGCGGGGCGGGGCTCGCCGAGCGCCCGGGAGAGGCCGGGGCCGGCGCGTCCAGGCGGTCAGCGCCCCCGTCCGCGCGGGGCGAGGTCCGCTCTCTGCGCGCCGCGGGGACCCGCGCGCCGTCGCCTGGAGCAGGTCCGCGGCGCAAAGCCCGGAGGGGCCCCGGGCGGAAGGTTGACCGTGGACGCCTCGACCACAGAGGCTCCGGTTTCCGGGAACCGAAACGCCACGACACGCCATCGCCGTTCCTCGGTCTGCAGCCCCTCGTCCGCGCGGCGGGGGTCGGCCGGCGGGTGGGCCTCGGCGGAAACAAGCCCCAGGCCCCGCCGCCGCGGCGCGGCTCGGGCGGGCAGGTTCCCAGCGCGTGCGGCCCGGGCGGAGAAGGAAGCCGCGCGCGGGCTGCGCTTGGGGGCCCAGGACCTCGGGTTTGGCGGCGCGCCGGAGAGGAGGGCGCTGGGGAGGCGGGAAGCTGCGCCAGGAGGCAGGTGTACCACAAACCCTAGAATAAGTAGAGTCGCGCCCGTCTCGGGCTGTGAGAAGCATAAAATGGGGAATCTGGTTTCTTCCCTCGCCATGGCGGGCACTCCGCAACACCTCCCGTTGGGCCCCGCGCTGTCCACGTGGGAGTGCCCCCAGGGAGCTGCAAGGGAATTTCACGCGTCGTCAGACACACCAGCCTGTTCCCGTGTGGGCGTGATTATCTGCCTCGCTTCCCCATTCAAGAGGAAGTCTGAAGAAAAGTGAGTCCCAGCTTTCTGCCTTGCCGCCTCTGGACCCTACAATGGCCTGAATCTGTGGATACTGGACAAGTTTACTTTTTCAGAGTCAGTATTTTTCATAAGGCTAGCATTTGGGGGGCATTGTGGATTATCCACTCCAAGCCTCAGGCATTACAGCCCAGGGAACAGGGTCCCTAGAGGTCGAGTGACTTGCCTGGCCCACAGTGGCAGACAGGGCCGACACTCTCCTCCCCTCCAGCAGAGCCCGCTGATATGCCAGGGGAGGCTCCAGCTGCTTCAAAACCTTCCTCACTCCAAAAGCATTTTTAGCTTTAATAAAAACAAAGCTTCAAATAACACATCATAACCTTGGAGCTAAGCAGCCAGCCCTGGTCCTCTCAACGCTGGGCACAAGACTCACCCGCACCTGGAGTCACAAAGGAATACAATATATCCCACCCAATGTCTGGGCATATTCTGTTGTCCTGTTAAGGAATACGTTTTTTTGTTTAAAAAAAATTTTAACAAGAATAGAGACATAATGCTTCTTTCATTCCAAGACACACACAATGATACTGTCTAGACTACTTCATTTTGAGAACAGAGAGTTCCAAGAAAACATGAAGCCCTAATGCTCTGCCTCAAATTGATATTGGCACAGGACATTACAAGGTTTTCATTTTGTTATAATCTTTTGTCCATGACTTCCTGCAGAATAAGTCTTATTTTCAGATAGTAAAAACAAAAAAGCTCCATTTATGTAATTTAAGGAAACAATATCAAATCCAAGTTTAAAAAATAGTTACATGTATCTGTATGAACACATTCCATTTTCTTGTTTTTTTTTTTAAAGATTTATTTATGCATACAAGAGCTGGGGTACAGGCCAGAGGCGTGGGAGGGTGAGAGGACTCACCAGAGACAGAGTGGGGAGCAGAACAGGCAGATTGAGTGAAATACACTGCTGAGGGGAGCAGTGGGTGAGTGAGGAGAGGTCTGCTAAACCACGTGGGTTGCTCCCTAGCTGGCCAGGAATCGAACTCATGCTGCAGTGGCTGCGGATAGCTTCCTAGGTTGCCCCTTTTGGGGAGGCACCACATTCTATTTTGATCATCACATTTGATGCTTCCCAAAATTTGATTTACATCAAGTGAAAGAAACAAAGTGTTTGAAGAGACAAAGTGACAGGCTAGGGAAAGAGAGAAGATTGGGTAAGACACTAGGCATGGTATAGAAGGAAATGTGGAGATTCTGTTTATGGCCTGTCTGCTCTGAGTGAATTTTCCAGGCCCAGGACACGACCGGAGGAGTGTGGGGAGCACTGCTGTATGAAGCCCAGCCTCAGCACAGTGGGAAAGCGAGAGGCCAGGGGTCCAGGATGGGGATAGGGTCTCCAGGGCTGGACATCACCAGCTCCTGACAGCAGGGAGGGCCTGCTTACTGCTGAACTGTCTTTGTGCAAATCACTATAAAAGGCCAGCTGGAAATAAAACGGGAAGGCATTTCTTTAGGTTATTAACCCCCATCTTGCAGATTGCTGTCTGTCTGATTAAAGCCCACCTTAAAGATTCAAATCCTGGGCCTCCCCGGTGGCGCAGCGGTTGAGTGCTGGGTCGAGAAGCTGTCCGCAGCCTTTGCAGTGCCGGTTCAATCCCCGGCTGCTCCCTGGCCATCGGAGGAGGGTCCCGCATGGCGCGCAGACCTCTCCTGCCGCCCGCTGCTCCCCTCAGCAGTGTACTTTGGTCCTTCTGCCTGCTCTGCTCCCCGCTCTGGCTCTGGTGAATTCTCTCACCCTCCCGTGCTTCTGACTGTACCCAGTACTTGTATAAATAAAAATAAATCTTAAAAAAAAAAACTTCTATTTAAAAATAAAAAAAAAATAAAAATTCAATTCCTGTCTGTACTTTACTAGCATTCGGTGGAGACAAGTAGCCCGGGTTCTGGACTTTGGGTTACAAAAGCTTCTAGATGTTAAAAGACAGGCAGGTCGGAATCCCACTGCAACAGGAGGAGGAGGGCATCTAGCCTGAGTGACAGTGCTTCCCTCACCTCTCAACACTGGAAGTTGCTAAGCTCATTAGAATGCTATAGTACACCAAGGCCAATGGGTGTTCCCCAAACAGGGCATTCCAATCCCGTGAGATGATTACTTAAATTATTTTATAAAGAAGGGGAAAAAATTACTCAGCATCTCTGTTCAATCACCAAAACTATTACTATCCTCCTCAAATATCACACAACTCTTAAAATTCAACAATATGGAAACCAACAACCCAACTAAAAAATGGCATAAAGACTTCAGCTGACAGCTTACCAAAGAAGACACACAGATGAAAGAGAATCTTCTAAAGAGATGTGCCTCATCCTGAGCCATCGAGGAGTTGCAGACTGAAACAGTAGTGAGACATCACGCACTTGTGAGAATGGCCACAACCAGAACAGCCACAACAACAAATGCTGGCGAGGATGCAAACATCACGCTCTGCTGCCACCGGAAACACAACATGGCAAACCACTTTGAAAGACATGCGGTTTGTTACACACTCTTACCATGTAATCCAAGGATCCCACTGCTTGGGAAGAGCTGAAAAGTTATGTTGCATACAAAGGACCAACAGGCACATGAAAAAGGGCTCATCACTTACCAGGGAAATGCAAATCAAAAACTACAATGAAGTATCACCTCACACCTCTGAAAATGACCCACATTAAAATAAGTGCTGGGGCCTCCCTGTGGCACAAGGGATTAAGAAACGAGGACCGTTTCCGAGGCTCGATAACAGGCCGGACGGCGCGGCCGCTCCAGCTTGAGGAGACGCCGCTCTGCTTCTGCAACTGGAAGGGAGGGGAGAGACTAGAGAAAATGGAACAGAAAATCCAAGGCCGGGGGCTACAAAAGCGTGGCCCGAGGGTGCTGAGGGGGAGGAGATGAGCTCCCTGCGACCACACGGCCCCCAAAATGAGTGTCGCAGGCCGCAGCGGCAGCTCGGCGCAGACCACCGGGAGCGGCCAAGCCAGCGCGCAGACTCCGGCCGCGAGGACGGGGCGCCCCTCGGCACCGCGAAGAGCGGCCCCGGGGCGCCCTGGCGAGGCGCGGGGGCGCAGGCGGGAAGCTCGCGGCGGCGTCGCAGACCCGACCCCGACTCCTGGGCCGACCCGTGAGCCCCGCGGCCCGAGGCCTCGTCCCTCCCCGCGGGGTCCCGCTCAGCCCCCCGCACTGCGGGGCGAGGGGCCCCTGGCGTCCGGGCCCGGCCCGCGGGCCGCTCCCCCGGAGGCGCGCCGGGCGCCCGAGGAGGCCCCGTGAGGGCGGCCGGGGGCGCGGCGACGCCACGGCCCAGCCCGCGGGTCGGACCGGACGGGGCGCCCTCGAGCCTCACCGCTCTGTGAGGGCCGTCGCGAGGAAGGTCACGTCCGGCGGGCGCGGTCCAGGCGCTGCGCGGGGACCCCGGGCTGGGGCACCCCGTTCCTCACAGCCGCCGCGCGGGCGCCGCGAGGCCGCCGGGCGAGGCCCTCAGCCGCGGGCCCTTCTGCGCATGCCCGGCCGCCGCGCCGCGGCCCCTCCCCCCGCGCCTCGTGCGCGGCGCGACGCCGGCGGCCCGGCCTTCCCGCGGGCCCGGCGCGCCCCCGGCCCGCGAGGCGGCGCCTGAGCGCGAGGGACGAGGCCCGGGCCGACCGCGCGGGCCACCGCGCCCCGGGAACGCCCCCGCGACGACGCGCCAGCCCCGGGGACCGGCCGCGGCCCAGGTGAGGCGCCCCCCCCCCCGCAGCCGCCCGGGCTGCCCCGCCGGCCCCCCTGCCCGGCTCCCTGCCCGCCCGCCGCTCAGGAGACGGCGCCCCCAAACACGGACGCTGGAGCCTTGCTCAGTCTGTTTGGTAGGAGTGCAGGCAAAGGCACCCCCCTTCTGTCACTAGCTTTCTAGATCTTTCCGGGGCGGTGAAAATCAGACGGCCAGAGCAGCTCGCTGGAAATGCAAAGTAAGACTCGCGTGGAATTTGGAAAGAGCTGGCAGTGCATTTTCTGAAAAAGTAAACAAACTGGTGACATTAATTTCTGTAATACACTGTGTTTAAACCAATGTTTTCAAATTATTTCAACGTGTATTCATTTGTGCAAATGTTTTTCTCACTCAGTAG